TAGCGTAGCGATTATATTATTATGTGATGAGTATGTGGATTCTATGGATATGGATAGTGTTGCACGAAATATAGCTGTTAATAGAAATCTTGACGTGGATACATTTGTATCAGTAGGCACGCACCATGTCTGTACCCGAAATGGAAATCGCGATGTCCTTACATGTACCTTTGAGGAGACCTGTGCGTCGCTCTATAAGTACTGAATATAAAGAAGAAACAATCATAAAACAGATCATAGTAGGTAAACTAAGTAAATTAAAAACCGACTTCAAAAATACAAAACCTTTAAAGATAAAAAAAAAACAAACTTGGTAGGATCAGCCTTGCCATTCAACGTGGCAATGCTACCAGCCTATTGGGCACCATTCCTGACAGCGGCGCTGGGGGTGACATATTCATTTTGTAAATTTGATATTATTCACAATTAGGTGAGGTAATTTGTATTAAAAATTTATACATTACGTAGTTTTTAAGTTGTTGTCATTTTATTTTCTATATATTGTAAGACAGATTAATATTAGGTGTCAGTGCTATGCCAACCCAAGTACATAGTAAATGGAAACTCAGATCTATCAAACATGTATGGCACCGACTCCAAATATCAATTTAGACTTTAAAGGTACTTCAGACATAAGTAAAGATGTCTGGCTTTCACATTTCGTAAAATAACCAATAACGATATGTGTACATTTCGTATTTGAGGAGATCCGTTGTTGATCTCCGAAAGTATTAATCTGATCTTTACTAAATTAGTCTTTACCATCTCGATAACAAACTCATCGAAACAAAAAAAAATCATCGAAATCGGCAAACAAACCTCGAAGATATGTGCGAACAACAATAAAAAAAATATGTATAATGCCGAATTGAGATCCTTCTCCGTTTTCAATCGGTTTAAAAATAATATTGTCGAAAAGTTCAGACAGATTAAAATTTTATGTTGTTTTCTCTCAGCTTCTACTGGCACATTTAATACCCCATACTAATAATCTCATACATTTTATAAGAAATATGCTAATACTTTTAAAAAATCAAATTGAAGTAGGAACAATATAAAGTGAGTGACCGTTAGCAATAATCAATATGAAAATTTAATAAAAACTCTTCCTAGTTCATTAGTATTAGTACACAATTAAACAATTTACATCCCGTGACTGTATATCATTGTTTTACAGTTGTAATTACTGCCCTGCTTCAGTGCACAGATCCACACTACCACTAATATCTAATTAAATGCAAGAAAGTGTTTCATTATTACTTATTATAACAGTAGACAAGCTATAGGCATGCTGATTCTTCAATCATGATAGAGGTTAGGGCATAGCGGACTTTCCGATCGAATTGGAGTGCTCGTTTGGGGAAGTAACCTCCATCCATCCATCCATCCATCCATCCATCAGCCTTTCTCCGTCCACTGCTGGATATCCACCTTGTTGGAACAAGAACCTCCACCTTACAGAATACCACAGTAAAATAACACTGCCTTTTATTTATTTGTAAGGACAATCAGTAAGAGTTACAATACAATGAGCTAATGAGGAGCATTATATTAAAGTGGAACTAAGAGCACTGTTTTCAGTTGCCGCAGCATGCTTAAAATTAGGTATGTTAAAATTGATGGGAATACTATACCAAGCAACAATTCATCAACACAAACACAAAATTTAAACGAAATATACTGAGACATAATTAAATGAGCAAGTAAGGCTGTTAAAAGTTCTTAAAAGATTCTTAGCTGTAGAAAGTTTTAAACTTTTATGATCCAATGCTATCGATGTAATTATCGATAATGTGTCTCAAAGCGTTATAATTTTTGGAAAATATAGACACTAGAGCTAGTTTATGGTGGTGTTGTGTTTCCTTCGTTTTGGTGGTGTTTTTGGTGAGTATGGTTCTTGGCCTACACGCGGTTGAGGATTGGGTCAGGGCAGGCCATAATAGGCTATGGTTGCTGATTACCATCCATATTAAAAAATAGGCGTGCCATATTAAAAAAATCTATGTCGTTTATTTGTTTAACAGACAGTTCTAACGTAGCGTGTAGAATATTCGACATAGCTAGAGAAGTAAAATTAGTAATTTTCTTTATATTGGATTTCACCCTTGAAGACATAATAAGCTGAACAGGGATCATGTTTTTAAAGCCACCAACTTCCTCGAGTCTGATTTATCTGCACACTTCCATCTACAACCAGTAGTATCAACAATATTGTGTGCATCGGAAGTGCTGACGCGTTCTTCTGACCCTGAATACCAGTATACACATTCATCCTTACAGAAGACCACAGCAAAATAACGCTGCCTTCAGGGGGCCAATCGCCTAACGGAAATGCTTTGGAAAACGCTAACGCTTAAGATTTTATTTTGTTATTCCTAGCCGCCTGAGGTATTCAAATGCCCCGCGCTCTTTCTTTTTCTTCTGCATTGGTAATAACAATATTAAAAAAAATGAGCGTGAGGTATTCGAAAACCTCAGGCGGCTAGAAATAACAATATAAAATCCTAAGCGTTAGCGTTTCCCTAAGCATTTCCTTTAGGCGATTGGCCCCCTGGTGGTGTTGTGCTTCTGCTGGTGAGTTCAGGGCTTCGCGGGGTAGGGGATTAGGTTCATGCTGTCAAGGTGAGGATGGCTGGTACTGCACACTTTCTGCCTCATCATCTGTTATCTCGACTGGAATCCACTTGCACTTAACATCAAGTGGAGTGGGTAATTAGCGGTGGTCTGGACATTAATTTCGCCTCGTATTAAAAAAAACTCGGAACCGTTCATCTCGCCACGGGGACAAATTGTATCTCACCAACATAACCACCGGTTCTCGTGCAAAATTACACGCTCGATTTAACAACCGCCAAGGATCAAGTTGAACACCAGATTTGAATAAACAATATTCACCGATAACCTGCCTCTCGTAAATTGCAATTAACTGAAATTGTTGTTCAGGTAGCTCGTACAGCTATGCGATACGTATTGTTCCTTTAAATTATTCGTTATTATCAACGTCCACGGACTACTGATATGTGAAGTTATACCGATGCAATAAGTCTATACGCTAATAAATAAACCGCAGGTGTCTTTTTATAATGATAACAACTAATGTGAACAATGAGTCAGGTTTAACAGTCAGACGCAGGTATCATGTGACGTCAATGGAGTTCCTGCTGAGAAGAATTCTCTGCATGAATTCAATTAATATATTACTGCAATTTTAGCTCCAATACTGATGTAATAAATACGCTTAGAAATGTTTCGCTTGGAACGATGAGTGGAAAGATCGAAGAAATTACTCCATCGCCCATTGATAATTTTTTGTCGTTAATACGGATCCGTGCCATAAAGATTTATTTATAAGGTACACTACAGCTCTCAGGTTGACACATTTACATTTTAGAACAAAAATACAGTACAATAATTGAAAAAAAATCACAAACACACACAGAAAAAAAGCCAGTAAATATTCATAATGATAACTTTTGTAATGAAATATCGTAATCAACAAGATCGAATGCTTATTTAATGTCGAAATATGCTACGTCGATTTGTTTCCGTTTATCCATATTAAAGGTCGGTGATAAATACATATAAGATGTAAGGATATTCTAAATACGATAAACAGTCGTGGTTGGTTTTAATAACCTGTTAATGAGTCGCTAATTAATTGCAAGCGTCGGGTTGAGATATGAAGGTGCCTGCGCCGGTATCGCGATAATGTTGCCCCCTTTGCACGACGTTGAGGGAGTGCGGCGGACATTATGGCGATAATTCATGTGCCACTACTTGCTAGAAAGACTTCACCTGGATTATTAAGCTATCGTCATTTTCGCAAGCTGACTTCGCTTGTAAGCAGTTACATTCGTAAACGATTGCAGTCTTCAATAATTTCGAAATTGATTGGATGATAATCTTTTGGGTTTTCCAGAATGACATAAATAAAATAGATTCACTATCCGATAAAGGGGTGGTATTAAAAATGATTTTGAACAACAATGATAACGAAGTTTGAATCTTACAGATTACAATACCCACACTTATATGATTTACAATTCAATCTTCAACTCTCATTCAATAATTTGTAGAAATCATCATCATTAACTCCAAGAGCTCTAGAGCTAACTCCGTCGGTTTTCTTTTGTTTCCTTAAGAAAGAATGGAACATCCATAAACTGTGCCAACTGCCGACACAATTCTTGCGACCGCTTAAATCATAAAAATGTTCCATTTCTGCGTGCAACATTGGTATACGCAACATATAGTCTAGTTCATTACGTACACGAATCAAAGCCCATTCCACCGCCGCGGCTGGCTGGCGGGAGCTGTCGTCATTAACACCTCCACTTCTCAGGAATTCCCACCAGTCCAGGCCCTTTACAGGGGAACTTACATATCTCCGCTGTCGGACTTATAAACGTTGCACTCGGGGATGTTTAACGAGCCGACTCTTGGCGGACATGCGAAATGTAACGTTGTTAACGTTAAATTAATAACAATTCTAGTTCTACCACGCCATCTGGAACTCAGTTATGATGCGATTACACTTATACTAGAAGTTGGCATGTATTCAGATGCTCAAATGATTATACTAGAATTTGGGTACTTAATTACACCGGTCTACGTAATAGAATACGAGCTTTTAGACTAATGAAACTGGACGATATTATTTGGAAACGGGCATGCCTGACTCCGTTTGTCTCGAATTTCATAAGCAATCAAATCAGACAAGCAGCTTAATGAAGTCTTTAGAGCCATTATGCCCGATGAATGTAACACAGAGATTTTCTATCTAAAAATGCATAGGTTTTATCCAAAAAAACTGAAAATATGTTTTTTACTCACATTTGTATATCACATAACCACATACAAATTGCTAGTTCAGGCTTCAAGAAACTATTATTTCATATTAATGTTATTGATTCTAAGAATCGGTACATCTTTTACAACATCTACTATATGGATTCTGTTCGAACTATCTCAGTGACCAAGGATTTTTCTTTGTCCAACAGCCAGACACGGTCCCGCAAGCCAGCATCGACATGACGTCCGTGCTGGAGGTGAGCGAGGCGGACGGGGTCACCGGCCACGCCCACAGCCTCGCCATCACGGCCCCGGAGCGAGTCACCTTCGTCAAAGGCACCTGCAGGGAGGAGGCGAGATGGTGGGCTGATGTGCTCGCAGTCTACCCGAGGAGTAAGGTAAGCAGGCTAGCATTGCTTCAATACAATTCTAGTAATGCGAGGAGCTCGATGGCGCAAGTGGTTAGCGCGTTCCGCTGCGATCGTTGAAGTTAAGCAACTTTCGTAGTGGTCGGTCATTGGATGGGTGACCAAAAGTTTACTATCTCGAGCTCCTCCGTGCTTCGGAAGGCCCGTTAAGCCGTTGGTCCAGGCTGCATCTGCAGTCGTTAGCACCCACCAAACGTCACTGGTGGGTCATGGTCCAATCTCCCTATTCCATCCATAGGGAAGGCCTGTGCCCCAGCAGTGGAAACATTAATAGGCTGATGAAGATGATGATGAATTCTAGTAATGTGAGGAGAGGAGCTGCAAATATATTCTATCTCGAGTTCCTCCGTGCTTCGTAAGGCACGTTAAACCGTTGATCCCGGTTGCATCTGTAGTCGTTAGCACCCGCCAATCCGCACTGGGCCCGCGTGGTGAGTCATGGCCCAATCTCCCTATTCCATCCATAGGGAAGGCCTGCAGTAGAGACATTAATAGGCTGATGATGATGATGAGGAACGTCTAAGGCAGCAGCTTGCGCCTAGACGTTCGGTGCTACATAGAGGTCTCTGGAATGGCGGGAGTACTTCACAAGGTGCAATGTAGTCCCTCTTATGTACTTCTGCCGCGTTAGAGTATATCTCAAACTCCCAACTTCACCTACTTTTACTTTCACGGTACTTATATCTAATTAAATAAAACATTTAACAGTAGAATTTAATTTGCCACCTATATGTATATAGTTTACAATTGAAGGTCGGAGACGTAATAATCGTTAGCATCGGTGGAGTTATGTCGTCCGACGGACGGATGGCTTCGTTAGGTTAATTAGCACTATCGTTCTAATGACGGTCTGGTTTCGGACTACTTCATTACACAGCTGTTAAAAACAAAAGGATGACGAGGTCAAACAAAAGATTAATAAGCGGTATCTGCCCATCCAACATAATAATAATGATGGGTTTTTTATCTAATCTCGCTTCACTTGAGATTATCATATCCATTAAATCTACTAGTTAGCCTTCCATTGTCAAAATTTATGAGGTAAATATAGGTAATTTTGTTCCCAATATCTAAGTGACACGCATGAGAAGTACTTACTCGTGGAGCATTCGGTACCAGCCGTGACTCCTTTATGTGAAGCAGAAGCAAAGGATCTGTGAAATCCGTGAATCAATTTATTATTATTTATAACACACCAACACGTTGTTATTATAGCATTTCTCGAAGCCTCTACATTACGAAACAAATTACTATCACCGTTTACATTCTCTGAAACATTCGGTGACTGCTATTCAGAACCAGTTACACGAACTTCCAATTACACAAAACAGCATAAGCTAACAAGTTGCGGGCTAAACGCCCGACTCTCCCTATAATAACTTGCAAGTTAACGTTACGCCGTCCGTCCCCATTACGGCTCTCGAGGAAACTCAGACGAATCCAAAATACAGTGTTTACATTCGCGGAGGAACGCGCGGTGACGTGTAATGAGAGCTGAGCGTTTCCTGACCCGACCGACGCGTGCGCTGCAAACCTCACCGCACCCCGAACCGTAGCGGAATATGTTAATCTGTAATCGTTTGCTTCCTACACAAATGGATAAGATGTATACTTAAAAAAATTACTGAATGTGTTCAGATTACAACAATTCGTAGAGAGAGAGAGATAATCATTTTTATTGACCACATTAATAAATTTACAAAACAATATACAAAAATAAATGAAAAAATACATAGTGGAGTAAAGAGAAAAGAAATACATTAATAATAGTACCATTTGTGGTCAAAAGCATGATGCTGAGGCAGAGTCCTGCCGCAACACGCTACAAAACGTCGATAAAAGTAGAGTAAGTTGAGGATTCGTAGATTGTCTTGAATCATACGATATTTTCCGAAGACTCATGCATGTTAAGCACGATCTGTAAAAGCTAATTGCAAATCACTAGGCACCGAATGCATGCAATTTAATTTAGATTAAGAACCTTCTGTTACCATTGCTATCATTCAATCACCCAAATTTTTTACATCCATACAATTTATTTCGTATTCATAAGATCATTAAAGTAATGTCATAAAACAAATTGTTGGTGCTTAAACCAGCGGAAGATACTTGATTTCTTCTCATCGATGCAGATGATCCATATAAACCAACTCCTCCATCCCGTACACATGCCAAACAAGATGGATGATGCAGAAATAGACGGAACTCGTTTTGCAAAAGAAATAAATCGATTCATCTCACCATTCATAATTATAATAGCAGGCTAATATCACAAGACCAATCGATGAATGCTTTTACAAAATACGTAAGACGTCACTCTTGGCTGATACTTGAAGCATATTATAATACTTCTAGATCACTCGGTGGACTGTAACATGGTTGTGATGAATGCTTCACTTTTCATCGCGTCGTCTGCATATATGATAATCAATTGGAAAGTTTCTCGCACAGCCCATGTACGTTGTACGCATAATCTTATCGTTTAAGTTTTGTTTCATAGAGTAACTCTACTACTCGCCTGTTCCATTGATCCTCCAGTTTTTGTTGGAGTATAATGTAACGCCAGACGGGTCACAATGGACCGCGCACAATGCTTCCTCGGCTGATGACACACGGACAAACTGGTTCCTTCGCTTTAGATTACAATTATCCTGTTCATGCTCCGTACCTGTCTACGAACATCTAGTTGGGATCAAACAATAGCGCGGGGTGATGTTGTCAAAGTTTTTTTGCTCTTGCTGTGAAGGAAATTTCTTGTTTCTCTTTGCCCTATGATTTGTTTATCACTGGAATTATTCGTTCTCGTATACTAGATTTAAAATGTAACATTTAAAGTACACAAAAGTTAAATTTGCTTCTGAAGATTAATCTGCAAACCATGTTGATCAGCTTCATCTTATTGTAAATTATCGTGTAATTTGTTCTTATTAAATGATGTATCTCTTCCACCACTTATATGTATGTAACTTACACCTCCCACGAATTGCTGGAATCAGTGAAACACGAAGATTTTATCGTTAATCTCGCAACTGTGTTCTCGGAAAGGACTGAATTGAATCGTCGCTTTTCCAATACTGTCTGTCTAAATAAGTTGTTGGGGTTACTGCTTTTGGAACAATATAAGCCAGTTCTACCTCATTACATACCTCCAAAATCGAGATTTACTTACACAAAGTTCTTAAATTTTGGGCAGTTTGGTCCAAAGACCTTGTATTGCATATTTTTAATCCTGATTTTATATACACACATCAAAAGTGTCTAGGGATCAAGCATTTTTATGCGGATTTCTTGAGATTGAGATGTGGCTTTGTAATAAATTTATGATTTTATAAATTTATATGGATCCTTTTTGGTGCATTTCATAATTTGAATCAGGAACTGTGAATCAAATTCGAGTAAAAGATGAAAATCAGCTGTCAATATTTTCCCTATAAAAACATACAACGCATTGAAGACATTATTAGTGCTACTGTTTCCCTACTACTGATTAAAACCAACGTTATTATGGAGCGGCGACGTCATTTAAGCAGGGAAGAAATGCTCAGAGCCGTGGGAATGATAGAAGCTGGTTCCCGGCAACGTACTGTGGCTTTAGCTCTGAATACAAGTCAGAGTGTTATCAGTCGACTTTGGACACGATACCGAAGCACTGGTACCGTGGCTGAGCGCCATGGAGGACGGTATCGCTGCACCACACGGAGACAAGACCGATACATTCAAATCTTAACTCGAAGAGCTCCAACAATAACCGCCATGATGTTAGCCGTGAGGCTTCATCACTCTTCAGGGAACTTAATTAGCGACCAAACAGTCAGAAACCGCTTGCATGAAGTGAACCTTCATTCCCGAAGACCGCTACGGGTACCACCTATAGCAATGCACAATCGTAGGATTCGATATCAATGGGCTCTTGAACACAGAAATTGGGCAGAAGAACAATGGCGTTTCGTGTACTTTTCTGATGAGTCTCGTTTTGGTATGAGACCGGATACAAGACGTATACGACACTGGAGAACCCCTGGACGCCAACAGCGATTAAAATCCTGCCAGGAAGTCCATCCTTATAGTGGTGGAACCATCATGGTATGGGCGGGTATTTGGATCGGCGGAAGAACTGAGTTGATTTGGATCAGAGGCAACCTCAACGCTCAAATTTATGCTGAGACGATTGTATCAGACGTCATCGTTCCTCTACAATTGCAAATCGGTCCCTTATTTCAGTTAATGCATGATAATGCACGACCGCACACCGCAAGAGTTGTAAGACAGACTCTCGCCGCAGCTAACATCAATGTCCTGCCCTGGCCTGCTCAGTCGCCAGACTTGAACCCGATTGAGCATGCATGGGATATGCTACAGAGAAGAGCTCTGCCGAATATGGAGGGTATCCAGTCGCAAGAAGACCTTTTTTTGTTGTTGCAACGAACATGGGCGGCCATTCCACAGCGTGATTTGGATGAACTCATTTTGAGTAAGCCAAACCGATGTTCTTGTGTTGTTAGTGTTCGCGGTAGAAATACGGATTATTAATTGTTTAAGTTACCCAATAAAATTTTAGAGAAAACTGTTATTTCAGTCTTTTTTTCGAACTTTTGTGTTAGTGGTTCAAATGTCAAAAATCCCTTTATTAGGAAAATGGCAAATTTCTTTATTAATGCAAAGGTGACTTGGTTTATCGTTACTGTGACAAACGAAAACACTTTATTTGATGAATCCTTAAAGAAAATTTTAATTAATATCAATCAGGAAAAAAGTTATTGCAAAAATATATGTTGATCCCTAGACACTTTTGATGTGTGTAGTTCACATTTACACGTATTAGTAATATTTCAAAAACTTTTAAATACATTTCTATCTCTATTATCAAATAGAGATAGTAAGTACAGTAAGCAACGAACCGTATCAATCGTGAAACATGTTGAAATAAAGGTTAAGAGCTGTTATAAATTCAGAGAACAGTTCTGCCGCTG